GGGTTAGAACATGCTCCTTTAGTTTGGAGGAATTTGTTGTTGCCCACCTTCTGAAGCCTACTTCTGTCAATTCGTTAAACTCATTCTCCGTCCACTTTTGCTCCTTTGCTGGTGAGGAGTTGTGAACCTTTGGAGCAGAAGAGGCGTTCTCGTTTTTTGAATTTTCAGCCTTTTTGTGCTGGTTTCTTCCCATCTTCGAGGATTTATCTACCTTTGGTCTTTGATGTTGGTGACCTTCGATGGGGTCTCTTGAGTGGACATCCTTTTTGTTGATGTTGATACTATTCCTTTCTGTTTGTTAGTTTTTTTTCTAGCAGTCAGGCCCCTCTGCTGCAGGTCTGCTGGAGTTTGCTGGAGGTCCACTCCAAACCCTGTTTGCCTGGGTATCACCAGTGGAGGCTGCAGAACAGCAAACATTGCTGCCTGTTCCTTCCTCTGGAAGCTTCGTCCCAGAGGGGCACCCGGCAAATGCCGGCCAGAGCTCTCCTGTATGCGGTGTCTGTCGGCCCCTACTGGGAGGTGTCTCCCAGTCAGGATACACGGGTGTCAGGGACCCACTTGAGGAGGCAGCCTGTCCCTTAGCAGAGCTCGAATGCTGTGCTGGGAGATCTACTACTCTCTTCAGAGCTGTCAGGCAGGGACATTTAAGTCTGCTGAAGCTGTGCCCACTGCTGCCCCTTCTCCCAGGTGCTCTGTTCCAGGGAGATGGGGGTTTTATCTGTAAGTCCCTGACTAGGGCTGCTGCCTTTTATTCAGAGATGCCCTGCCCAGAGAGAAGGAATTAGGCAGTCTGGCTGCAACAGCCTTGCTCAGCTGTAGTGGGCTCCGCCCAGTTTGAACTTTCTGCGGATTTCTTTACACTGTGAAGGTAAAACTGCCTACTTGAGCTTCAGCAGTGGCGGATGCCCCTCCCACCACCAAGCTCGAGCATCCCAGGTTGACCTTAGACCGATATGTTAGCAGCAAAAATTTCAAGCCAGTGGATCGTAGCTTGCTGGGTTCCATGGGGGTGGAACCTGTCGAGCCAGACTACTTGGTTCCTTGACTTCAGCCCCGTTTCCAGGGGAGTCAATGGTTCTCTCTTGCTGGTGTTCCAGGTGCCACTGGGGTATGAAAACCAAACCAAACCAAAACAAAACTGCAGCTAGTTTGGTCCCTGCCCAAACGATCACCCAGTTTTGTGCTTGAAACTCAGGGCGCTGGTGGCGTAGGCACCAGAGGGAATCTCCTGGTCTGCCAGTTGCGAAGATCGTGGGAAAAGCATAGTATCTGGGCTGGAGTGCACCGTTCCTCCCAGTAGAGTCTCTCACGGCTTCCCTTGGCTGGGGGAGATCCCCTACCCCTTGTGCTTCCCAGGTTGGGGAGATCCCCTACCCCTTGTGCTTCCCAGGTTGGGGAGATCCCCTACCCCTTGTGCTTCCCAGGTTTGGTGACACCACACCCTACTCCCTCTGTGGGCTGCACCCACTGTCCAACCAGTTCCAATGAGATGAACCAGGTACCTCAGTTGGAAATGGAGAAACCACCCGTCTTCTGCTTTGATCTTGCTGGGAGCTGCAGACCGGAGCTGTTCCTATTCGGCCATCTTGCCAGCAAATCCTTTTAACTTATATTTTAAGTTCAGGGGTACATGTGCAGGTTTGTTACATCGATAAACTTGCGTCATGGAGGTTTGTTGTACAGATTATTTCATCACCCAGGTATTAAACCTAGTTCCCATTAGTTATTTTTCCTGATCCTCTCCCTCCTCCCACTCTCCACCCTCTAAAGGTAGCCAGTGTGTGTTGTTCCCCTCTGTGTGTCCATGTGTTCTCATCATTTAGCTCCTACTTACGAGTGAAGATATGTGGTATTTGGTTTTCTGTTCCTATTAACTGAAATTTTAACTGGAAGGGATGTGCCTGTCTTGTTTTCTAGTCAATTCCTGGAGTCTTAAATGGTGCCAGGCATGTAGAAGATATTCTGTAAATATTTATTAAGTGAATTCCATAGTCTTGATTCCCCTTTGAAATCCATATGGTAGGGTAATTATTGAAATAATCTCAGCCATTTTGGGAAGATATATGCATACTTATATATATATTTATATATAAAAAGGTCTGTATTTAATTTTTTTAACCTGCAACAAATCACACTAGGTGCTCTTTGGAGTGTTTCTTTCTTTTATTTATCCTAAATGTGCCCTCTTTCTGGCTTCAAAAGTTGCTTCTAGCCCTGAGGTCTTAGGGAGCAAGCTTGCACTTTCCCTCTTTACATCTTTCATGACTTAAAATGTTGCCCCTGTATCCCATTTTAGCCTTCCTAGACTTAAGAATTTTATCTTCCACTTTTCAATTTGTGAATACAAAATAAGTTCATTTCTGAGTTTCATCTGCCAGGTTTTAATTTAAATCTTATAATTTTACATTTATATTTTTAAAAGAAATGACTTTCTCGTGTTAGGTCAGAGAACTTAAAAAGATAAGCTATTTGTTTCTTTCTTTTGGTGAAGACTTGGCATAGAGTTTAGTTCCTGTCCCTAGAGACTTATTTACTTACCATCTATCCAGAAGATGAAGTAAGATGAATTGAAAGATCATGAAAACATTATGAGAAAAGAAAACTTGCATTTTTTGTGGCAAAACTGCTTTGAGCTGTGGTCCTCTGTAGTATGTTGGGTGTGTTTGAACAAGAGGGGGTTGCTGGTAGAACAGTCTTCAGGTGCAGGGATTATTCAGCCCAGGTTTTACTGAATTCATGGTTTTCAAAGTGACCAAAAAAAGGTAAACACATGCTAATGGTTATCACATAATACTTTCTTTAAAGAGTTAGCTTTTGTACCTAAGTTCCTTTGGGAGGACATAAACCCCTTCTTGAAAAATAGCACAGTTATTTCCTCTTTTCTATACTTTATTGTCTGTTATACCATGTCATAACTAGTGTAAAACTAGACATATTTTCTTCAGTATAACTTCCTGCTTGAAACTCAGGGCCCTGGTGGCATAGGCACCAGAGACAAACTCCTCGTCTGCCAGTTGCGAAGACTGTGAGTTTCCTATAACTTCCTCTCCTACCCTTCTCTGCTCCCCCACACCCATTAATGAAACAAATACAGTTGTCCCTCAGTATCCGTGGGGAATTGGTTCCAGGACTCCCTGTAGATACCAAAATCCATGGATGCTCAAGTCCCTTATATAAAATGGTACATATTTGCATATAACCTAGGCACATCCTCCCATATAATTTAAATAATCTCTAGATTACTTATAATACCTGATACAATGTAAATACTATGTATATAGTAGTTTTACAGAAGGTCCCTGATTTATGATGGTTTGGCTTATGGTTTCTTGATTTTATGATGATGTAAAAGTGATACATATTCAGTACACTTCTTGACTTAGGATGGGGCTATGACCTGGATAAGCCTAGGGTAAATAAAAAATATCTTAAGTGGAAAACTCACTTTTGCTTACAATATTTTCAATTTATGATGTGTTTATCAGCATGTAACCAATTCCATCATAAATTGAGAAGCACTTATACACTTTTAAAAATTTGTATATTTTTGCATTGTTAATTTCAATTTTTTTCACTGTTTTTGATCTGAGGCCAGTTGAATCTGTGCATGCAGAACCCATGGATATGAAGGACTTTTATTTGTACAAAATAAAGTTGCTATCCTCCTGGAACACCTGTATGTACACAGTTTATTGTTGGTAGCACAGAGAAAGGAAGTCAGCATATTGTGGCCAAAACCTTTTGTTGGAGATGTTAAACCCTCAACTTGCTGACTCATCTTTTTAAAATTTGTTAAGAACTTTTATGGTGCAGATTTTCTTTTCTCAAGGGACTTTATGACATTCTCTCTGTACCTGTTGGATCACATTCACGAAGCAGTCATGACCAATCTTTTTGGTACTTGATGCTTTCTGAACATACTGCAGTGCAGTTGCTATTGATTGGCCTTGGGAATTGCTGAAGAACAGAGGACTTGGGCTTTTAACTGGAATTCACATTTACTTGGTATACATTTAGATGCCTCACTGATAATTGATTAAAAGGAAATGGCTTCCCAATAGTCATGGTCATTGAAGACCAGTGTGGAGGCTAAAGCAACTTCATCTTGGATGTGAATCTGCTATGTTGAGTTCTGATTAGATCCAGTTCCTCCAGGAATGCCTCTAAGGTTTTTATTTTCTCTGTGGTTCCTTATGTAAAAGCACTTAAGACAACCATAAATCCCACCCTTAGGTCAAAACAACTCTGATGTTATCATACTTACTGTAAACCCTCTCCTTAAGCAATTGTCCTACACATCCCTTCTGAAGTCTGTAGACCCTTTCCCTGTGGTGGATAAGTCCTGGGTCTAGGGAGTAGGAGGTGTGGGGGCGTAACAGTGCAGGCATTCACCATCTGTCTTGTGGGGTGCCTGAGACATGGCCTTTGTTTATAATTCCCTGTGAAACGTGTCTTCCTGAGAAATTGGATTCTCAGCCCCTTTCTTTGGCCTCTCAGCTTCCTTGGCTTTGGGGTGGTGGTGGTTTGCATAGAGCTGCTCACTGCAGAAAATTAGCGAGTATGAGTAATAACTTAGATCTAAAAAGCACACAGAGTGGCACTTCCGATGCATGCCGAGTCCTTGTTGTCTAGTTCCCTGGCTTGGATCCATGTGCCCACTATCCAGTGTTACTCCCTCATTCCAAATAAGCATCAGAATGTATTCTGGAGATAACTGAACTCAAACCACATTTTATCAAGATGTGTGTAAATTAACCTAAGTCAGTGTCCACTAAGCTACTCAAGAAAAACTCCTCTTTTTACAGGGAGGTATTTGTGGCAGACGGTTAACCATGGACATATCCAAATCAGAGCTGTCTTTCAGGAGTGACTATATCTCCACAGCTTGTGGAAAGATGATAGTCTCAGTAGGCTTATATTTCAGTGCTTGGAACTTACTTTTGCTGAAGGTTGAAAATTGCTGTTAAGAGAAACAAATGGTTCAAAACACGAAGAATCACTTTTAGGATAATTAAAACTATGTTGAAATTTTTATTTATCAATCTGGTTTCTAATATAATTTTAGTTAAATGAAAGACATTCACAAAGAATATTAGGCATACGTACATAATTTCCTTTTTTCATTCTAGTTTACATGCTGTTGCTTTTAGAGAGTGAAATTTTGTGTTATTTCATAGGGATGGAATCCTATTGGACTTTACAGAAAGAATATTTAGCCCAGCTTTTCACAACGCTAACCTCTGCAGTCACCATGCTCACTGAGAAAATTTAAAAAACTTGACAAAATAAAACTTAGAATCAGTAAATCTAGAACTGTTTCTTTGCCTACTTGAGAGGAACTTCCATATTTTCACAGCCATCTCCAAAAGCAGCAGTTGCTGTAAATTAACTGAGACTTGGAAATGGTGCAGACTGTTTTGGTAGAACTGTTCTTATACCACAATTTTATCTGGAAAATAAACTTGTAAATGCGTGCTGTATATTAATACGTGTGTGCCCATATTTATTTTTATTATCTCCTGCCAGTCTTTGCTCAATGAGAGATAACAAACCAACTTCTCAACGTGATTTCCCCATTTCATTGAATATGAGATTTATATACCACTTATGAAGAAAACTGCTGTGAAAGAAATGTACTTAAAGTTTCCAACATTACCATGCAGATACATGGAGAATAGGCACCGAGCCACTAGGCTACATGAACATGTCACGTTTGTATTTTGTGTTGGCCTATGTATAAGCCAGTCTAGCATATTGGGAAGGCATGTGTAAGAGTAGGTAAGGGAGCTATAAGTTACATTCAGGTGAGAATTTAGGGCTTTCTGCACAAAATATTCTAATTTCTCTGTCCTTTTGCTATGTTGCATCTCCCAGTGTTGACAGGTTAGTCTGCATGATTAATAATTGAGCAGTTGTAGAGCCATGCCAGTAAGTCTCCAATTCCTGAACGTGGCCACATTTGTCTTTTGATGTGACTTTCAACCACAAGCCACAAATCTTCCACTAGGCTCCGTTGACTTAAGCCTTCATATAAGGGTTTCAGGGTATTTTGCAGTCAAGAATCAATGGCACCTTGCAACTGTCTTATGAAGTAGGTAAAACAGCTCCATCTTAAACACGGGACAAAAGTTCGAGGACTTAACCAAGGTCACACAGGGAGGGTCACACCAAGGCAGGGAGAGAGAAAGGGGATGCTGTCAGCTAATTCTCAGGGTCCACTCTTATCAAATCATCATTTAAAAAATGGGGCTGGCTCAGCACGGTGGCTCACACCTGTAATCCCAGCACTTTGCAAGGCCGAGGTGGGCGGATCACTTGAGGTCAGGAGTTTGAGACCACCCCGGCCAACATGGTGAAGCCCGGCCTCTACTAAAAATACAAAAATATTAGCCGGGTGTGATGGCGAGTGCCTGTAATCCCAGCTCTTGGGAGGCTGAGGCAGGAGAATCGCCTGAATGCGGGAGGAGGAGGTGGTTGCTGTGAGCCCAAGATGGCGCCAGTGCACTCCAGCCTGGGCGACGGAGTGTGACTCCGTCTCAAAAGAAAGAAAAGTTGAGGGGGAGGTGGGCAGGGGCCATTGATTCTTAGCTGAAGTCAGCGGCGGATATTGTTACTGTTTGTTTCTCACTGGTTTAGGATCAGGTGGTTCTGTTGGGACTAGCAATTTAGGACCTATCTTTGACTGGCTCACTTGAATTAAGTTTAATAATTGCTGCCTTTTTTTGGGAAAATTGCTCAACAGAGTGGTGAAAAGAAAAGGGGGGGTTTCTTTTTTTTTTTTTTCCTTTTTGTGGAGAACGGGGTCTCGCTATATTACCCAGGCAGGTCTCGAACTCCGGGGCTCAAGCTATCCTCCCGCCTCTGCCTCCCTGAGAGCTGGGATTACAGGCGTGAGCCACCGCGCCCGGCCAAAAGGGGGGGTTTCAAATTCAGTGTTGTTTGGAGGCATGAAACATAAAGGGGCCATTAAAAAGTTTGCTGCGTAAGAGCAGGATATAGTGTGGCAAGGAGAGGAAGAGAGAAAAAAGTAGGATCGAAAAGAACAGATTGCATCATAGAAGGAAAGAAAAGCTTCTTGACGCGACCTGAACACTTGCATGTTCAAGTCCCATAGCTGTGTGCTTGTTCCTGAAGTGCTTCCAGTGGCTTCTGTCTGTGCCCAGCTCTCAGCCTGCATATATGGTGGCTGCTCAGCAGATGTTCAAAAGTAATATTAAGATAGACTCTTTGGCTCATGCCATTGCTTTTTCTTGTGCCTCTGAATTCCTGTTCTTGTTAGTAAAGGATGCTTGTTTGTCAAATGCAGGGCAGTAGGACATTTTCTAGTAAAGGCTGTCTAAATTCTTGTTTTCAGCTCTTTAATGAAAACTTCCACATAACAAGTCTCTTTGAGCAGTTGGTTGAAAGCCACAAGGGGAAATATATTTTTAAATATTAAGAAGGGCCAGAAAATAATTTAACAATAAAACAACTTTTTCAACCTCCTGGACCAGCTTTCTTGAACTCTAGGGAGTCTGCTATTTTGAGAGCTTACAGTCGCACTAACCTTGCATTCATTCAAAGTCATCTCCTATCTTTCCAAAACATCGATATTTGCTTCATACACAGATGTTTCCTGCACAACCTTAAATCCGCCATTAACTTTCCCTGAAACTTTAGAACAGCCTATTTTGTTGTTGTTGTTGTCTATACATATTATTTAAAGAGGCTACTACCAATATACTTGTGCTTGCTTGATAATGTATTGGAATATAAGATGTCAAGATTGTGTGAGAAGTGAATGACAAAGCAGGATTAGGCACTGAGAGCTTGGGTGGGAATGTCATGGTTATCGAGGCTGCACTGTGTTAGGCTGTCCAGGGAGAGAGTTGGAAGAAAGAGTTAATTCCTTTTCTTCACATAAATATATTATTTACCACTTAAAATGTACTGGATATGGCCTTCATAAGCAGGTGTAGGGATTTTTGTTAAACTCATAATCCCAAGAAGAGGTCAAGATTTCCAGCATTTATTTGGCACTTAATTACTTAATACTTTATCCACCTTTTGGTTTCCTGTCTGATGGCCATATTGTAACCCTCTTGAAGAGAGAGAGAGAGTATCCTATATGTCTTAATTGATGGTGATATGGGAGAACCACTGATCCCTGCAGTCATTCCAGTGTCCTAGGTTTGAAATTTTGGTGAGAGGATTGGATCTCATTTTTCACCTTTTGCGGGAGGAGAAAGGATGAGAACATTTTAGTAGCAGAAGCTGTTTTGGGTGACTTTAATCCCCTACTCATTTTGGGGAAAAAAGGAAAAGTGTTGACAATGCATAATGAACAGAGCTATCATGGGAATTGCAAGAAATAATAAATTTCCATCGGGCGTTATTTGGTAAGTACAGGAGTAATACCTGTAAACCAGGTTTAAAAATCAGAAACACTTTTAAAATGTTATGTTTAAAATTTGCGTTCAACAATACATACAGTAACTCCTAATGGTAGTCATCTTGGCTAAATAAAACAGCCTTTGCTTTCAATATTTCATTTGTAAATGTTACATTGTTCTGATATTTAGTGATATTAAATGTTTTTCCACTTTAAATGTATTTTATAGAAGAATGATTAAAACCTTTTAAAATTAAGGGTGTCCATGACAGTGCCTGAGCTCAACCAGCCAACGGTAAAAGGGCATCAGGATTCCCTTTTGTTCTGTTACCTTGACTTGCATGGGAATTAACTGGTCCAATGTGTCTTTTGGAATGTGCTGTGTACTGGTGTAATGTGCCACTAGCAACTCTAGGTAATGTTTTCCATTACCCAAGAAACTGACATGCCCCAATAAGTTAGGCATACTGAGAATCTTGAAAAAAAAATGCATTATTCTAACCAACTAGAATTTCCATTTTATTGAGCCGGGCCATCAGAACAATAGCATCTATACCTCTGAAACCTCCTCTTAACCTCTCCCAGGCAAAGAAGGAAAAAGTGATCATATTTAATTCCTCAGAATGGTGGGATCTCAAGATTTTTAAAAAAGTGCTTATTAAGTATAAGAGGCTTGAAATATAATGATCACAAATGGTAGTCTTTCTAGAAATCTGTTTTGTATAATCTGTTTAAAAAATAAGATTATTTTTGGATGCATTGTCCCCATTTGTTTACATGAAGTGTATTATTTTTAAATATAATCAATGAGTTATTTGTTACACAACTGGGTCAAGGTTTCAGATTAAACTAAGAGGTGTGACTAACTACACTTGTCCATCGTCTGAGAAGCAACAGGTACCAGGTTTGTGAGGAAGTTGAGGTTCAAATGTGTCCATCTCAGAAGATCCCTGAATCACAGCAGTGTGATTGCATGGAAAAACACGTGGAGTAGTTGATTTAAAATATGGCAGTGTTTTCCATATCATCCAGAGTAACAGCCGTAATAACTTTATTGTGTTGCATCCATTTATAGGACACGGTCTATTAGGATTTTATCACAGGGGTGGAAAAACTACCAGAGACTTAAAGCAAAATAAGAAGCGCAACCTAATTTATGCATTCACTAGAAATTATCCATATGTTCGCTACAACTTTAAAAGAAAAAGAGCAAACAAATCATAACATCTGGCTCTAATACCCCATTGAGGCGCTTATACATATATAAATCCAGTATGTTTCAGATAAAACAGGAAAAAATCTTTTGTAACAGCTGGTCACCATGGTATTGCAGCTGATAGTTACAGATATTGAATTGGTCTAAGACTACATATTAGAACAATATTAGCTTGTAGAATTCAATGAAAAACCAACAACCCCAATATAAACTGCCTTCTCTGGTTCTTTAATGCCTCTCTCCAGTTGTGCTGATTGTGTCGTTACACACCAGGTGCCATGCACTCTCTTGCTTCAACTGCTGTTACCAGTCAGGAACCCCAGATGCCAGAGAGCTGGCATAGATTGAACTCTGCTTGAAAACTGGCAAATAATAGGTTCTCTTTGCCCCTTTCTTTTCCAACTTATAGGACATCAAAGGAAATAGTATATGAACACGAACTAGTTACTACAACAGCCCATTAAGGTTGACTAGAAGCAAAAGGAAGAGAATGTTGGGGGCCATATGTAGGTGCATCAGCTTTTCTCAAGAAAAAATACCCATGTTCTAAGGGCTCTTAAAAATGTAGAAAACTTGCCCTGTTACCACGGGTCTTTAGAACACCTCTAAACACACACAAAATAAGACAGATATTACCTACAAACTTCAACCATTGCTTAAACTCTAAAAGCATTTTTTTGTATTATTTTGTTTTGATACAGAAGGGAAAACTCAGCTATAAAGAAATATTAAATTTTTTGTTTTTTTGTCATCAGTCTCAAGAATATTCCATTGCTTGCCTCCCCCAACTTGTGCTGATATTTTAAGGATGTGCTCAAGAGTATGAAGCAGGGTGCTTTTGTCCCTTTCTCTCCTTCCTAGTAATTCCCTCCTCCCTATCCCATAGCCAAGTAACCACCCCTCAAATGAGCCATTCCTTTTTGCTTTCATCAATGGTCTCTGTGAAATTGGGGTCGTTGTTCATGATGGCGGCGTCTGCGCTCTCTGCCGACTCCGCCCCCTTCGCTTCATTGGTATGGTAGGTGCCCTTGTGGCGGAACATGTACCGGATCAGGAAGACCAGGGTGCAGAGGATAGTGAAAATCACCACAGCAATGACGCCTGGCGGAGAAAGGAGAAGCACGAGAGGTTAGACAGGGCTTGGGTGCCCCTCCAACACTGTCCCCACTTCACTACAGCTCCCTCAGACACAGCCCTCTCCCATATAAAACACAAACTCCAAAACAACAAAGATAACAAAAATGAAGTTAAGATTTCTGTTTTTGTCCATGAAGGAGTAACAGGAAAATCAGGAGTAACTTCCCTTCCAGCCAAAAGTAACTGAAATACTGGACACAATCAATGAAATGACAGTCTTCAGACATTAGAAAACGGGCAGAATGGAACCATGATGTCTGAGAACAGAGAAACAAAAAGGAGGAGTCCTACAATTTTCCTCGTTTTCTGGCTGCCAGCAATTTTTGGACAGCAATGTAGGGAGGGGCAGCACAAGAAAGCACAGTGGTTTCCCTGAATGGAGAGGGGAGATAGAGCACGTGCGAGAGCTGTGTATAGGAAGAACCCTAATAATCTGCACGGAAGTGTCTCTGAATTTGTGTCAGAATGACACTAACGTGTGCATGTACAGAATGAAAGTCATAGGCCAGGCCAAAACCAGAGCGCTCAGAGGGCTGGGAGACGTTTATGTTCCAACCAACCACACTGAAGAGACCTCATTGAATAATCAGAGCATTTAATACAGTTATAGAATGGTCATGCTGAAGATGTTTGCTAAAATAGGCCTAGAATAAAGACTACCCTAGATCTGTCCTGAAAAAGCTTTAAAGCACATCTAAATAACTTCAAGCTGCAGAGAAAAATAATTCAGAGAAAAAAAATGTAGGAAAATGTCACTTGACCAGAAGAAACATCAGTCAATTAGAAGGAGATTCAGAAATGACAAGAGCATGGAATGAGCAGACAAGGATAGTACAATAGCTATTAGAAATGTGCACAGGGGTTTAAAGGAAAATATGATCAAAATGAGAGGAAAAAATGAAATAGTGGAACTTGTAGAGGTGAAACATACAGTGTCTGAAATGAAAAAAATACTGGATCAGGCCAGGTGTGGTGGCTCACGCCTGTAATCCCAGCACTTTGGGAGGCTGAGGCGGGTGGATTACTTGAGGTCAGGAGTTCAAGACCAGCCTGGCCAACATGGTGAAACCCGGTCTCTTATACTAAAAGTATAAAAATCAGCCAGGTGTGGTGGCAGCTCCTGTAATCCCAGCTACTCAGGAGGCTGAGGCTCGAAAATCGCTTGAATCTGGGAGGCGGAGGCTGCAGTGAGCCAAGATCGTGCCACTGCGCTCCAGCTTGTGTGACAGAGCGGGACTCTGTCTGAAAAGGAAAAAGAAAAAAATACTGGATGAAATAATACAGACTAGATAAAATAGAAGTAAATATAACTGATCTAAATACTCCAATTAAGAAGTAGAGACAGAGTGGATAAAAAAGATGCCTACTATATGATGTCTACAAGACATGAACTTTAAATACAGGTCAAAAGTAAAAGGGTAGGAAAAGATATGAAAACAATAATCATAAGTAAGCTGGAATAGCTACATTAATATGAGACAAAGGACAAGGTTGTTAGTAGAAATGAAGAACATTTCATAATGGCAAAAGGGTGAATTCATCAAGAAGACATAATGATTCCGAATGTGTATAAACCTAACCTAAGTACAAAATAAATGAAGCAAAAACTGGAGGAACTGGTATGAGAATTAGACCAATTTGCAATTATAGTTGGAGATTTTAACACTGTTCTGTCAGTAACTGATAGAACAATTGAACAGAAAATCAGCAAAAATTTAAAAGACCCGAACAATACTATTAAACATTACCTAATGATATTAGACCAATCCTAAACATCTTTCTTAAAATACAGGAGGAGAAAACACTACTCAGTTCATTTTATGAGACCAGCATTATCCTGATACTAAAACCAGAAAAACATTACAAGAAAACTGTGGAGCAATATTCTTTTTTTTTTTTTTGAAGACAGAGTTTCGTTCTTGTTGCCCAGGCTGGAGTGCAATGGCATGATCTGGGCTTATTGCAACCTCAGCCTCCCAGGTTCAAGCAATTCTCCTGTCTCAGCCTCCCAAGTAGCTGGGATTACAGGCGCCCGCCACTACGCCCAGCTAATTTTTGTATTTTTAGTAGAGATGGAGTTTCACTGTGTTGGCCAGGCTGGTCCTGAACTCCTGACCTCAGGTAATCCACCCACCTTGGCCTCCCAAAGTGCTGGGATTATAGGCGTAAGCCACCACGCCCGGCCACAATATTCTTTTAAATAGAATTTTAGTAAATGAAACCCAGCAATATGTAAAAAAGATCATATATTAGGATAATGTTAATCCTAGGAATGCAAGTTTGGTTTAACATTAAAAAATATTTACCACATTAAGCAAATAAGGAGTAAAACAGTATGATCATCTAAATAGATGTAGAAAAAGCATTTGGAAAACTTACAATACCCATTCATCAAACAGCTTTCAGTAAACTATGAGTAGAAGAAACTTTCTCAATCTGATAAAGGACATCTGTTGGAAACCTACAGCCAATATCCTATTTAATAGTGAAAGATCAAACACATTCCCCTAACATAGGGAACAATGCAAAATTGTCAAATCTCAACATTTATTCACTTTTGTACTGAAAATCCTACCCAGTGCAATGAAACAATAAAAGGATATAGACTGGAAAGAAACAAGTAAAAAAATCTCATTATTCTCAGATAACATGCTTGTGTTTAGGTAGACAATTCTAAGGAATATACAAAAAAAGTTATTAGAACTAACAGCAAATTTAGCAAGGTTACAGAATATGAGGCTGATATAAAAGATCAATTATACTTTTATATGCCAGAAAGAAACACTTAGAAAATGAAATTAATAAAATAGTAATTGCACAAATTTAAAAGTTGTTCAAGACTTTGCGTTGAGAACCACAATACGTTGCTGAGAGAAACTGAAGAGACAAATAAATGTATAGATACACCATGTAAGGATAGAAATACTAAGTATCGTTAAGATGTTCATTTATAGGTCTAATACAATCCCAATCTAAATTATAGCCCATTTTTTTGGTAGAAATTTGTAAACTGATTCTAAATTTTATATAGAAATGCAAAAGACATAGAATAGCCAAAATAATTTTGAAAAACAAAAAAAGATTAGAGAACTTATATTGTTTATTTCAACACTTTGTATTAAGGTACAACAGGTCAGGCGCAGTGGCTCACACCTGTAATCCCACCACTTTGGGAGGCCGAGGTGGGCGAATCACAAGGTCAGGAGATCGAGACCATCCTGGCCAACGTGGTGAAACCCCATCTCTACTAAAAATACAAATTAGCTGGACATGGTGGTGCATGCCTGTAAGTCCAGCTACTCGGGAGGCTGAGGTAGGAGAATCGCTTGAACCAGGGAGTTAAGAGGTTGTAGTGAGCCAAGATCGTGCCACTGTACTCCAGCCTGGCGACAGAGCGAGACTCCCATCTCAACAAAAAAAGATACAACAATAAAGCAAGCATGGTATTGGGTAAGGAAAGATATATAGACCAACAAAACAAAAAGCCTAGAAAATAGACACACACACACATATGGTCAGTTGCTTTAAAAAAAGTGCCAAGAAAATTCAGTTGAGGAAAAGTATAGTTTTTTTTTGTTTTCAACAAATGGTCTTGGAATAACAAGATATTCATTTGGAAAACACTGGCTTTGACTCTTCTCTCACACCATTTATAAACATCACACCATTTATAAACATCAAATCGAGGTGATTAAAGATCTAACGGTAAATGATGAAGCGATACAACCTCTAGAAGAAAGCTGAAAATCTTCAAAACTTTTGGGTAGGCAGACTTTTTAGATAGGACAAATCAACCACGAATTATAAAAAGATTGGGGCCAGGCGCAGTGGCTCACGCCTATAATCCCAGCACTTTGGGAGGCTGAGGCGAGTGGATCACTTGAGGTCAGGAGTTCGAGACCAGCCTGGCCAACATGGTGAAATCCCGTCTCTACTAAACCTGAGATCATGCCACTGTACTCCAGACTGGGCAACGGAAAGTGAGACTGTCTCAAAAAAAAAAAAAAAAAAAAAAAAAAAAAGTTAGGGACCTGTTACACTTATAGGTATGTATTATACTTCAATTAAGTTGATTTAAAAAAAAAGCAAAAAACAGTGAGGATTGGGATATTGATGGCAATAGGGATGTCAATATTGATCTACGCATGAGGCTCAACAGCTATCTTAGGAGAGTCAAATTATTATGTAGCTGCCCCTGGTGAGAAGAAAACACTGGAATAGTTTAGATGCTACAGCTTGTTAATTTTCTGATACATTTTTATTTTTAAATTTTAATTGTGCAAATTTATGGGCTACATGAGAACATTTGTTACATGTATACATGCAATAGTGATCAAGTCATAGTATTTAGGGGCTCATCAACCAAGTATAATACATTTTTGTTAGATATAGTCATCCTACCCTGCTAGCAAACCCTGAATTTGTTCCTTTTATCTTACTGTATGTTTGCACCCTGTAACCCACTTCTCTTCATTCTCCTTCCTCCTCCTCCTCAACTTTCCCAGTCTCTATCTGTTTTTCTTTCTACCTCCATGTGTTCAAATCTTTTAACTCCTGTGTATCAGTGAGAACATGCAATATTTGTCTTCTTGTGCCTAGCTTATTTCACTTAAAATAATGATCTCCAGTAATTTTCTGATAATTTGCATTATGATAACTGAAACCAGACTGGCATTTCCCTTTTCTTTTCTTTTCTATGTATTTATTTATTTAGACAGAGTCTTGCTCTGTCGCCCAGGCTGGAGTGCAGTGGCGTGATCTTGGCTCACCGCAAGCTCCGCCTCCTGGATTCACACCATTCTCCTGCCTCAGCCTCCCAAGTAGCTGGAACTACAGGCGCCCACCACCACGCCTGGCTAATTTTTTTTTTTGTATTTAGAGATGGGGTTTCACCATGTTAGCCAGGATGGTCTCGATCCCCTGACCTCGTGATCCACCCACCTCGGTCTCCCAAAGTGCTGGGATTACAGGTGTGAGCCACTGTGCCCAGCCTTCCTTTTCATTTTTTATAGTATGCTATCCTGGACCATTTGGGATGCAAAAGGATGAGACTGAAAAAGATCAGAGGGGATAAAGAAATGTCCTGGCTATGATCACTACTACCTCCTTACATATTTTGAGTCTGTCCAGCTTACCACTACCATTTGTTTTTTACAAGCCGGCATTAAAAAGTAGCCAGGTTAGGCCAGGCGCAATGGCTCATGCCAGTAATCCCAGCACTTTAGGCGGCTGAGGCGGGTGGATAACGAGGTCAGGAGTTCGAGATCAGCCTGGCCAAGATGGTGAAACCCCGTGTCCACTAAAAACACAAAAATTAGCCAGGCGTGGTGGCAGGCACCTATAATCCCAGCTACTAGGGAGGCTAAGGCAGGAGAATTGTTTGAACCCGGAGGCAGAGGTTCCAGTGAGCTGAGATCACGCCACTGCACTCTACCCTAGGTGATAGAGCACGACTCCATCTAAAAAAAAGAAAAAAGTAGCCATGTTACATTTACTATATCTTTCTCTCTTTTTTTTAAAACAGAGTCTTGCTCTGTTGCCCAGGCTGGAGCGCAGTGGTGCAATCTTGGCTCACTGCAACCCCTGCCTCCCAGGTTCAAGAGATTCTCCTGCCTCAGTCTTCCGAGCAGCTGGGATTACAGGTGTGAGCCACCATGCCTGGCTAATTTTTGTATTTTTAGTAGAGATGGAGTTTCGCCATGTTGGCTAGGCTCGTCTAGAACTCCTGACCTCAGGTAATCTGCCCACCTTTGCCTCCCAAAGTGCTGCGATTACATAGGCGTGAGCCACCGTGTCTGGCCACATTTACTATATTTCTGCATATCAGAATTCATAATCTTGTGTACTATTTAAACAACAAAATGAATCATGTAAAAATCTAGAAAACTTTTTCCTAGACTACTATGTTATTGACAATTATTGCTTTCCATAGGTGAGTAGCCCCACATGAGCCTGCTCTACACATCACCTACCTCCAATGATAGCCGAGTTTCTGTTGACTCCATTTCTTATAGCTTGGCCTTGTCCTGGATTATATGGAAAATCCGCACTGGCTGTACAGAAAGAAAGAGTCAAGTGTCAGTCAAGTATATTGATCCCAAATAATTTGAAACCTATTTCTCCATACAATTCGTTAACACTTACTGTTTTTCCAAATGAAATCTCCATATCTGATGGACCCTGTCTTGCCATTGTCTCACAAAAGAATCACAACAGCCTCCATCCCTGTACCTGCTGTTTCTGTTTGCACAAGGCCTAGATAAACATGACTTACCACTTGGAGCAATATTAGAGAATCCTAGAACTCCCTGAGCTGGCTCTAGTTCCACAGACAGACGAGTTTATGCATTTGAATATGTTTCTTACATTTGGTTGAAATCTGCTTCCCATCCACTTTTAACCCCATGCACAACTGGTGGCATTCAGTATATTTGTAGATGAGCTTTTTACAGCTACAGTATTAAAAAGTTTAAAAAGGAATAATTCCTTCAAACTTGTATTTTTCATGGCTGTAGTAAGACCACTGGCACACTTCAGGAGTTTGTAAGGGGGTAATAATTCAAAACAGTTGAGAAGAATATAACTGCCTAGTGAATCTATTTCTTTCCCTATTATAAATAATAAGAATCAATTGTGTTATATTTAGGTATTTCTCTAAGATAAAACAAATTTTAAGCCCGGAAAAGGCAGAATCTATCTTCTGTCATCCATAGGACCTAATCCAGCTTCAGAAACAATTCACATTTGTTGGTCTTCTGTTGGAGAAGTTAAGGTAAATCTTCCAATAGAAGCAGGTCACCTTAGTCTAAAGCAAGCTCTGGCTACTGGATGGCACCAATTAAATGTAAAAAGAATTTAGAAGTACTTATTTGGTACAATGAAATGTGTACACATTTCAAATAGGCAAATAGGTTTATGTTATGATTCAGGAAGAATGTTGCTACATACTCCATTTTCTAACACTAATATATTCCTGGGCTATGGACTTCCAAGATTATCCAGGATAATGATAAAAAGCAGGTAGAGCCCTTTTTCCTCCTCTCCCCTTGGAAATACGGCAACCAAAAAGGGAGATTCCAGATTCTGTCAACACATGTGATTTAATCCTTTCCCTTTTAGACTTTATATTCTCTTTTTTTTATGGAGGTGAGAGCTGGGGAAAGGGTCTCACTCTGTCATCCAGGCAGTGGTGTGATCTCGGCTCACTGCAACCTCTGCCTTTTAGGCTCAGGTGATTCTGCCTCGGCCTCCCAAGTAGGTGGAATTACAGGCACCTGCCACCAGGCCTGGCTAATTTTTGTATTTTTAGTAGAGGCGGGGTTTTACCATGTTGGTCAACCTGGTCTCAAACTCCTGACCTCAAGTTATCCACTCACCTTGGCCTCCCAAAATGCTGTGATTACAGGCATGAGCCGCTGCACCTGGCTAGACTTGATATTTTTGTTTAGGATGAGGAAAATTATACTTTACATTCCAAATTATCTCAACTATCTGAGTAAAAAGCACAGACATTAAGAAAGCTACAAATGAAAGCAAACTTAACTCTGAGTATTCAAGGATTTCATGTTCCCCCAAGTCTTTAACTGGGGGATGCAAAATAGACCACTGATGGTTTTTGCTTGTTTTAACTGGCTTGATCCTTTTTTTTTTTTTTTTAAGATTTGGTCTTGCTATGTTGCCCAGGCTGGAGTGCAGTGGCACAATCATGGCTCACTGCAACCTGGACCTTCCAGGCTCAAGTGTTCCTCCCGCCTCAGTCTCCTGAGTAGCTGGGACCATAGCCGTGCACCATCACGCCTGGCTAATTTTTTATTTTTTGTAGAGATGGGGTCTCCCTATGTTGCCCAAGCTGGTCTTGAATTCCTGGGCTCAAACAATTCTCCTGCCTTGGCCTTTCAAAGTGCTGGGATTACAGGTGTGAGCCACCTTGCCCGGCCAAATTGGTCCAATCCTAAATCCAGTTAGCTAGGTAGGGAAATGGGGAGAACCAATGCGTAGTACGGTGTAGTCAGCTACTTTCCCATCAGCTCACTTTCCCATTTCCCTTCAGGATCTTCTAGGGTAGGTAGCATGGATTAACATTCCCAATCCCAAATGTCAGCCCAAGAATGCGAAGATCTTTCATTTATTAGGCTTATCATCAGATATAAGATTAATCCTAAAATTATCCTATGGGAATAAACCTGGTTTACATAAAAACATATAATAAAAACCTTGGCTTTCTTTTTTAAACCTGAATCTTCAGAGAAGTACTATTAGTAGATGTGACAAATGTATTCATTTACTCATTCACTAAATCTTTGTAGAATGCCTACTATATGTCAGACTTCATTCCAAGTGCTGAGGATACACAGTGAACAATAAAATAGACAAAACGGAGAATAAAGTTCTCTAGCTAATGAGAACTTCCTGGTCCAACATGGTCTGTTTATTCCATGCATCCTTGAACAGTTTGATTTATATAGTCTAGATAATATACTGAAGCATGGATGTGGTTTCAATTATGAACTTGTCCATTTACAGTAAATTGCCTGATATGCCACCCACAAACCATAAGCACAGGAAGATTTGGTTATGAATGTACACAATTCCCTGGCACAAGACACCCTTCAAAGACCACAAGCTGTTTTTCAGGAATGAAAACTTGCACATTACTGCCCATCTTTTCCAGACTTTTTGACATTATCATTACTCTTCTCTGGACACTATTTAGTCCATATCCTTCTAGAAAGTCACCAAGCTTGTGAGCAGTCTAGCTAAAATTAGAACCCAGGTAGGGTTCATTCCAAAGTCAACAATCTTCTCTACCCTGCCTTTTGAAGGCTAGAAAGGGACAGGGAGTTGAAGGGTTGAGGAGGTCCCGCTTGCAGACAGTTTGGCTTGGGTTGGCACTATGGAAGGAGGAGCCCTTTTAGGTGATGAGGAATTAATTAGTTTTGTATTGGACATACTGAGTTGGAGGTGCCCAGGTGGAGGACACCCAGGTGGAGATATTTAGTAGATATTTGGATACTTTGTGAGTGAGTCATATTTCCTGTCTCCTTTTGATAAACGCAGAAATTTCCTGACCTCCTTTTTGTCTTCCCCTATTCCCTGCCCCGTCATGACCTTCTTTAAACAATATGTACCTTCAAAATATATTAAGTATGGTGATTAAAAAATTACAATGGTAGGCCAAGCATGGTGGCTCACGCCTGTAATCCCAGCACTTTGGGAGGCTGAGGCAAGTGGATCATGAGGTCGAGAGATCGAGACCATCCTGGCCAACATGGTGAAACCCTACCTTTACTAAAAATACAAAAATTTAGCTGGGCATGGTGGCGTGCATTTTTTTCTCAAAAAAAAAAAAAAAATTAGCTGGGTGTGGTGGCGTGTGCCTGTAGTTCCAGCTACTCAAGAGACTGAAGCAGGAGAATCGCTTGAACCCAGGAGGCGGAGGTTGCAGTGAGCTGAGATTGTACCACTGCACTCCAGCCTGGCAACAAAGTGAGACTACGTCTCAAAAAAACAAACAAACAAACAAAAAAAATTACAGTGGTAATTTGTTGCTATTCTATTGTGTGATATTCATAATACCGTGAATGGTTTGCTTTTCTGGCTCAGGTGACATGGCTGGTAGACCACAGCATGGTTTCTCTCTGCTTCAAAGCCTGTCTTAATGGTGTGCATCCTTGGCCACAAAGCTGCAGAAAAATGTAGATGCTTAAGAGATACTCATAGGCCTCTTCCTGTTTCCCTTGAGGTTACCAATAAAAACAGTAGCAGAACATATGGAAATAGTGGAAGGAGTTACCTGAGATGATGCAAGGAAAATGACAAGCGTTAGAGAGGAACATTTAAAAATATCACAGGATTGTTTTGGGTATCAATCTGAACTCCTGGGCATAGTGAAGAAGGCCCCCCTTGAGCTGTATTTCTCTCCTGTCCCTTCCCTCCTGGGGTCACTTTTCCAACTCAACATTGTAGGTATAGGTGATACGGGCAGGAGGCAGGGAAATACTGGGTAGAAGAGGGTGGAGTCCCTGGCAAGGGTTCCACCCACAAACCTGAGCCCACAGCCCTAAATGAGAACTACACAGCCTTGTTTTCCCACCCAAATGCTGCTTTTTTCCAAAACCACCCTGGCCTGCCAGGCCCCCCAATCCTGTACCCATAAATACCCCAAGCTCCACTGGCAGAGGAGCAGAGCAGCGTGGCAGAGGAGAGAAGAGAACAAGCGGCTGAACGTCAAGAGAAGAAGCATCTGAATGTTGAAGAGGCAACCGGACAGTTGGAAAGCAGTTTGGCTCAGGATGACTGAAGAGAATTATCCTTCCATTTCATCCCTTTCCGGCTCCCCATCCCACTGAGAGCCACTTCCATCACTCAATAAAACCGTTGTGACCTGATCCTTCTCGGACGCCAGATAAGGACCTGAGTACCAAGAGGGCAGGGGGTAAAAGGCTGTCACCCTGTCTCCACTGAGCTGGCTAACACTTAGCCATCCCCAGATAGCAACTGCTAAAAGAGCATACTCCTAGAAGCTGCTGTGGGACCAGAGCCCAAAAGCGTTCACCCCAGCTGCGGCACCCACTTGCCTGTGTGCTCCCCTTTCACAAAAGGTTTGAGTGAGCTGCACCCATTGCAAGTCCAGTGAAGGGGTCCAGGGAACTCTCCCGTCTCATAGGAGTTCCTGATGCTTCCAGTTGACACCCCTTTTCTCTTCCATATGGCACTCTGTCTGGACATCTGGTTTACTTTCCTTTTCTTTGTCCATCAGATCTTACTACTTTCCTAAAAGTATCCTCAGTGACCTCAGATTGTGTGTGTCCCTTTTCTAAATGGGAATAGTCTTAATTCTTGTGACTTCTTACATAACAGTCATCCTCTTAAAGTCAGAGACCAATCTTAATCGTGTTTGCAGTTCCAATGACTAATAATGCAGTAGCAAGGGCTAAATGGATGTCCATTGACTGGCATAATTAAAATCAGTCTATTAAGAGGTATGTAAACATTGTATAGCTTCTTCTAATAATAAAGCCTTCTATGCAGGTAGAATTTTGAAAGTCAGATG